AAAGATCAAATATATACTTTAACCATTAATTTTCTGTTCTTTTATATAAATTTGGGTACAAAATAAAGGATTCTGTTGTGAAATAAAATAAGACGGCATGACCAGTACCTGCCACTCAGAAACAACCCGGACAAATGCGGTTCTGAGCAACAATAGTCCAACATATGCCTCAAATCCCTAAATAAAAATAGAAGCATAAATAAAGTTTATGAACATCGAAAGCTACTCTGGTGCCTAGAATTCAGTTGTGAAGTAAATTAACATTATACGAGGCAAGCAAATTTTTTTTTTTTTTTTTTTTTTTGGGGGGGGGGAGATGTTGGTGGGAAGCAAGGTTTAGCCTAGAATTCTCTTGCAAACCAAAGAGAAAAACAGGTCTAGTCATATGTGAAAACCAAATTGACACAAGGGTATTAATTATCACACGGGATGCAAAGTATGAAAACCAAATCATCAGCATGAGAGAAAAAGAGAAGAGAGCGGTTTCAGGAATAAACTTGATTTTGATTGGTTACCCTCCTAAACCATCGTATTTATAACAGATGTGGGAGCAGTGCATGTAGTACATTCTACCTGTCCCCTAGTAGCCCCCAGGGGGCAGTTCTCCTGTAATAGCACTAGGGGAACATAGACCCAACGCTCAATCATAACACACTCCAAGTTGGAGCATCCATGTTAATCCAGCCCCATGAGACACTGATACTTTAACAAAGAATCATATCCGCAGATTCTGCACTTGTATTAGACACAATATAATACTTCAAGTTGTATTTAATTACTGTCACAGAATCAGTATTGTGCCGTATCTTGTATCTTTAACAATATCAACATTGCTGAGATCATGTCCTATTAATAGCTTTGGTTGGCACAACCAAATTTCTTTGCCAACAAATACATGATGTTGTAATCAGCTTATGCTGAATCTTCTCCATCGGGGAAAATGACAATCTACTTCAGTCTCCATTGTTCGTATCACGATTTAGGAAAATGTGTATAGCACCTAAATTATCACACCCTAGCTTTGTTGGCGGGAAGAGCTGCATCAATCCCACTACAACAACCTTCTTGCTTAACCAAGAATAGATTCCCAGCCAAGGTTTTGGATATTTCTTTTCTTTTTGAATTTTCTATAGACACAGATTTTCATACATGAAAATGTGAAAGACGAGACATTGCATCATCAAAAGACATCCTGCTAATTCCTAAACCAGTAACAAACTAATCAATTAGCTCAAAAGATTGCCAATCCCTTTGTAAATCCAAAAGGAAACTGATAGGTTCCAAGATAGGTAGAGAGAAGTAAGGAAGATAAATCTCTATCAAACTTCATAGTATTAATAAGAGAACATAAAATTGATAGAAGAAAATAGAAAAAGTGAATCTATCAAGATGATGTAGAACAAAAATCTTGTTCTATACTTTTCTCAATAACCACACTTAGGAGAATCTCCAAAGGGCCAAAAGTCTGAAAAGTTTGTTTTATTCATGATATATCTGCTTCTAAGCTACTAAACATATTTATAATGCTAAATACAATCTAAAATAATGAATAAAATCTAGATAACTAGATAATTAAATAAAAATGAATAAAATTTAAATAACTACATATCTAAATAAATACCTAAATATCTAAATAAAATCTAGATAACTAAATACCTAAATAAAATCTAAACAATATTATTAAATAGAAAATATCTAAAATAAATTAAAATAATATTTATTCATAATATCTCTCTTCCACGATTATCCATTATCTCAGAACTCTATCAATACTCCCTCCTTGAAAATTCGACTTGTCATCAAGGTGAGATATAGGCAATAGTTTTCTTGTGTATTTGGAGGTTGAGATGGTAGCAATAGATAAATAGTAGCATCTCCAATGTGGATTCCAAAAGGTCAAACAAGAGGCTGCATGGGAATTTCAAGGATAAAGTTGCAATTAGACTCACTATCCACCAGGTTCAAAACTTGGGATTCAAAGAAGCTCCCTTGAAGCCTCATTGCAGATATGTTGTTGCTACCCAGGAAATTTCAACCCCACTAGGTTCCATCTCCATGTTTTTGTCCTCTTCAAGGGAATGAACAATTTCTTCGCCCTCCTTTGTAATTTCCAACAGTGAAAAAGATCCCTTGCAGCGATACCCAGGTCTAATAGCCTCACCACAGCTGAAACACAGTCTCATCTCTTCTTGTCGTTGCTCTTTGGCTTCCATGGAAGCCATTATAGATGCTGGCTTGTGAGGAGACAAGGTCGAAGTTTCTGGCTGAAGGGAGTTTGAAGTTGATGTCTCTTTGAAGTCACATGCTATTTGATAAGGGCTTGAAGGAAACAAAGGCTTAGTTTGGTTCTGCTGGACAGTTTTGGGTCCATAAGAGTTTTGGGCTTTTAACTCATATTCAAGGGCCAAACTAATAGCCCGGTAAACTATCCTAGGTTTATGAATCCAGACATCAGATCTGAGCTCCTCCTTGAGGCCTTTGATGAAGACTCCCAAGAGGCAATGTTTCGGCCAATTCTTCACACGAGCAAAACACCTAGCAAATTCCAAATGATACTCCTACACAAAACTAGTTTGCTTGATGCTATATAAGAACTCATCTGGGTTCTAATATCCCAGAGGCCCACAATATTCTTATAACACTTCCACTAATTCTTCCCAATAAAGGATTGTACGTTCCATGTTAATAGAAGTAAAGAAATCACAAACGTCTCCCTCTAAATCTCTTAATGCAATATTAACTTTGAACTCTTTAGAAATGTGATAATATTGAAAATAATTTTCCGCCTCTAAAATCCATGGTTGTGGATCTCCACCATCATGGTTGGGAAAATGTGTTCCAGATGGTGGATGATAATAGGTCGGGATAGGTGGTGAAAATGTGGGTTTGTGAAAAAAGGGTGCGGAATAGGCAGGTACCATATTTGGATCGAACGACTCCGATGCCGAATGATAGGTAGAGAGAAATAAGATAAATTCATATGAAATAAGAATCTAACTTCATAATATTAATAAGATAACATAGAACTAATAGAAGAAAATCGAAGGAGTAAATCTATCAAAATGATATAGAACAAGAATCTCATTCAATACTTCTCTCAATAGCCAAGTTTAGGAGAATCTCTAAAGGGCCAAAAGTATCAAAAGCCTGTTTTATTCATGGTATGCCTGTTTCTAAGTTGCTAAGCATATTTATAATGCTAAATACAATCTAAAATAAGGAATAAAATCTAGATGACTAGATAATTAAATAAACTGAATAAAATCTTCTAGAATCTATATCTATATAAAATACTGAATAAAATCTAAATAAAATCTAAATAACTAGATATCTAAATAAATATCTATATCTACATAAAATCTAGATAACTAAATACCTAAATAAATCTAAACAGTATTATTAAATAGAAAAAATCTAAAATAAATTAAAAATAATATTTATTTACAATATCTTTCTTCCTAGATCACCCATTGTCTCGAAACTCTATCAGAAACCCCCATAAAAAGCCATTTGCTGATATGTTAAGAAATAATATGATATTATTAACGTACATGCATATAACAGCCATTTCATTAGTTCCTTTTGCCCTTATTTGTAATTTTATTTCCCAGAGTAGCCTCCCATGCCATCTATAAATAACATGATGAACTTGCCTCATGACAATATACAAAAATTCAAGACCACTTGTCATGGTATTAAAGCCTCTAGGCCCTTGTCAAAAATTTTCAGGCCCGTTACCTTTGTTAAACTTTTGTAGCGTTCATTGTTCCTACATTACCTTTTTTGCCCCCAATCCATAAGCTTGATTGTTGCACAACATCACTTTCTACCCTTTTCTTATAAGGCATTTGACGAAAAGAACTTTAGCAACCACCACAAATCTCTCCAACTGGCCTTTCCAAATTAACTGAATCACCTTCAACCACCACACACTCTCCCATGCACCATCAAGTCTATCTATATCCTTCCATTTTGATGCTTGACACCTCTTCTCTGGCAAGAGCTAATTCATAACATCTTGACAACACTAGAGTATAGCCTAGGGCTCCTCTTGACCTATCTAGGCTCCTGCAGTGCTGTCTCTGTTTTAGAGGACACTTCATCATTGTTTGGCTGTTCCAGCTACTTGCTTTGCTGCAGAAGATTTGATTTTTCACCTCCTTGAGTATGTCCAAGAGCTGTGAGGAAGTTGGTTTTCTCTAGTATTTAAGCTGGTTCCTTTGTATCTCACCGGGTATATATAGCACATTTTGTAAATATTCCTGATCAAAGAGAATAATCTCTCTATGCCTGATCTCTTGTGTGCTTCCTGCAGTAAGTTAGTTTGCTATAGTAGCTAGGCTGGTTTCTTTATATCTCACCGGCTATATGTAACAGCACATTTTTTCCATATTCCTAACAAATGAGAATAAGCTATCTCTACCTAATCTCTTCTGTGCTTCCTTTATGATATGGCCTTGAACCTAAAGAGTAATAAGTTCTCAATGTTCAGCTGCAAAAGCTGGATCCGCAAAGAAAGATGTCATCATTTTCACCCATTCAATGCCAACGAAGCTTGAAGGCAATTTCTTGTTGTGGAAGCTGCAAATAGGGAGTGTAATTCGTGGCATGTGTTAAGAGAGGTTTATCGTTCAAAAAATTTGAAAGAATCAACGCCCTATACAGGAGCAGAGGAAAGGTATGGGGCAATGGAACAGGTTTGGACACGAATGCAACAAGAAGGCAGCAACACAGTCACCACCCCACTTAGAGTCTTAGACTTTCTAACAATCACCTGACTAACTTATTCTTCGGCACAACTCTTATTCCTAACAGTTCCTAGGTGACTGGCTCTAGACTCACACAACAACTCATATTTTCAGACACAAAATGAACCACAACTCATTAAATCACATCCCCAGGGCATAAAAAAAAAAAAATCACAATAAACACAGTTAACAAATAGAACCCAAAAAAAAAAAAAAGAAGTCCATGACCAAGCTCAAAATATTTGGGTCCACATGTTTGGGTGGCATTTCTAAGTTTAAAATTTGAATTTCTGGTTAGAAAGTGATAACACTAAAATGAAACCTTGACAGAATTTTCAAAATCCAAAGATCTGGCCTTCCACTAAATACAATATACAATTCCAGCTCTTCACTTGGTTGTACAAAGAGTATGCTTCCCTTCTAAGCTTCAAATCACAAGTCACCAAAATGAGTGGTCTGATAGGCCTTAATTGCACCTCCTCTAAAAATACTCCCTGCCTGGTGGCCAGGGTTTCTGGATCAGGGATAAAGGTTCTACTACCTTGAAGAGAAAGAGGAGATAGAGGAGAGAAATTGAGGAGGCACTTAGTTGATTGAGTAGCCTCTGAAACCTTCTTATTTAATGCATAGAGCCATAGACAGATAATTGTCTGATGCATCTTGGTAGGACCACGAGTAAAATTCCTATTAGCACTGAGATGATAGATTTAGGAATAATTACACTTAACATTGCACACTGTAAACATAAGTAACATAGGCAACCAAAGGCCATGTAATTTAATTACCTGCAAAATGAAAAGTATGGGGCATAACAACCACAGTTGGCCATCGACTCCAGCTGTTTCTCCCCAGACAATATCCATTCTCTTAGCCTAAAATTCATAGGAAAACAAGGATGAGATCATACATTTCATTTTCTATCCATATGATAGAACTTGTTTCACCATAAAATTAATAGCACTTGGAAAAAGAAAAAATAATCAAGCCAGTACCAAGCACAATAATATAACAGTAGGTAACTAGGAGAGATGAAAGTGAGAGAGCTGGCAGATGGAAAGATTAATTGCAAGTAAAATATTATTCAAATAGCAAATCAAGAAAAAGGCAGCCAAACACTACAACGTTCCTTTAAAAAGTAGCACCTTTCCTAGTGCAATACGAGTATAAAGTCTCTGCCGTTGATATCTATTTTGCAAGAGCATTGCCACTCCTTGCATCATAGCCCACTGTAGAAAAAGTTGTACACCTCTCTGCATGCATTGGCAAAAACTTTGATGATTCTTCAAATCTTACATGGATGAAAAACAAAACTATATGCGTAAGAGGAAAGCTAACCTGCTTTTGTGCACAATTAGGTTGTCCTTTAATCTCCCAAGTGAGACTCACCAGGGCCATTACCATAGCACAGTAATGATGGTATATCCACCTACAATGGAACAAAAAGTTAAGTCACCAAGAAAAAAACACCTATACATTAAAGGAGAAAAATTAAGAAATTTAAACTCATATAATTAATGTACTTTTTTTCAATTATATTATGATAAGCAGATTTTCTTTTCGGCCCATCTGTCACGGATGATATCTCCGTGACCGTGTAAAGACCAAGATAATGAACGATCCGCTGGTTAGCCTCACACAATATGGGTAAAGGGGGCGACATTGGCATTGGGGGTGTTCTGCCTCAGTCTTCGAACTGAGTGCACAACTGGTCGGGGGCTAGTGCCGCCTCCCTGATGAGCCCATGGCAGGGCGAAACCAGTGTGATCCGTATGTGATAAAACTTGTCCTGAGGATCATGGGGTCCTCCAGGACGCCGCACGGGCGCCGTGTGCTGCGCCAGACTCTCAGCCCGTGACACATCGCTATTCCTGTAACTAACTATTTTTATCAATACTGTTAAAATATTAATATGTAAAATATGATGTAATTAGTACAGGTGTTAGGTGGTATGCTAAGTTAGGTGAGGTATTAGGTGTTTTTAACATTTACTGCTCTTTCTCTTGTGTGTGTGTGTGTGTGTAAATTCAATCTTAGTAAGATAAAGAGAATATAAATTAGAGAGTATTTCTTCGCAACATGGTATCAAAGCTTCTTCCTATGTTATTCTTCTCTTATCCGTTTGAACTAATAGTGAAGCGTGTGTGTGAGAGTGAGTTTAGGGCATCCATTTAGGATTGATTTGAGCGACACCACCCAGATAGAAAGGTTCCCCACCCTCTGATTGGCATTTCCCCACTGGTCCGAGTTGCTTTTGATCGACGAGTGAAGCTCACACACCACCTGCAAAATCGCTGGAAAATCACGCACCGGCATGTGAGGTCTTGCGTGGACGAGCTTCCGGCAGTGGTCTTCTTTGTTGTGATTGACTTCTCCTTTCCAGTCATCCCCCGGTGGTTTCCAAGTCTGGGTCTTCATGTTCTTCCTTGTTTTGCTCTTGTAAGGCTTCTATTTGATTGTTTCTTGGTCCCTCATGTGATCTTTGTTTGTGTGAGGCTTTTGTACAGCCAAGTTTGGTTTGAGTCTTTGCAGTTTTCGTCCGTGGTGTGACCATTGCTTGCTCTCTGCTTGTTTTTCCGTCTGATCTTGGATTGATTTCAGTTGATTTAGGCTCTAATGGCTGAAAGCAAGGCTATTGTTGTCACTAATAGTATCCCGTAGCATAAACTTAATTGAACCAATTACTTGGATTGGAGTAAAATTGTTCGAATCTACGTAAGGAATAGTGAAGAGGAAGATTACTTGACAAAGCATCTTCCTACTGATGACACTCATCAAGTTTGGTTGAGAGATGATGCACGATTATTCTTGCAAATTCATAATTTTATTGAGTGAGATTATTAGTTTTGTTAATCATTTTGAGTTTGTTAATTAATTAATAGAGAATCTGGAATTTCAATATTCAAGGAAGGGAAATATCTCTTGTATTTATGAAGTTTGCAAAGCCTTCTATTGTGAAGAGAAGCAGAATCAGTTTCTTAAGGCCTACTTCATGGATTTCAAGAGGAGATATGAAGAGATGAATATGTTGCTGCCTCTTACCACTAACTAATGAACGCAAAAGGTTTAGCGTGAACAAATGGCCATTATGAGTTTTTCTTACTGAATTTCCAACTGAACATGAGACTGTTTGATCTCAAATCTTGTCCGAAACTAAGATCTTTGATCTTCAGGAAACCTTTTCTAGAGTAATGAGGATAGAGAATCTCACTTCGAAGCCATCCATTGATCACAATAGTGCTTTGGTTAGTCGTGGTCCACCTACTCGAGCAAGCTCAAAACCAAGGGGAGTTGGTGATCAAAATCATGATCTTGGTATAGTTGTGTTATTATTGTCATGAACCGAGCTATACCAAGTGTACCTGTTGAAATCTTCAAAACAAACAGCAACAACTAGTGTGTGCTCATGTTGCATCATCTTCCAATCACAAGCCTAGTGACTAGGTTATGATTTATGCTACTGAATATGCCCAATTCACTCAATACCAAGACTCATTAAAGTCCACTGATCCACTGATTGCTACACTTACTAAGTCAGGTAATCATAAAACTAGTCTCGTTTCTTCTTCCTCCAAGTGGATCATCGATTTTGGGGCTATTGACCATATGACAAGTAACCATCATCTCTTCTTCTCTTATCAGCTGTATACCAAACCCTCTAGTATTCTCATTGCTAATGGCTCCTCTTCTCGAGTTCTTGGCTTTAGCACTATCACACCTACTCCTTCAATTCATTTATCATCTGTACTAGATGTACCTAATTTTACTTTTAATCTTATCTCTCCTAGTAAACTTACTAGTGACTTGAATTGTTGTGTCTTATTATTTCCTGGTTATTGTTTGATCCAAGATCTTATGACAAAGAAGATTATTGATAGGGGCTGTGAATCTTGTGGTCATTACTTCCTTGATGATCGAGTGCCTCATGCTATGGCTTGTTCCAGTATTTCAACTCATTTTGATTTTCATTGTCACTTGGGTCACTTGTCGTTAACTTCTTTAAAGAAACTTTATCCGTAATTTCCCCACTTGTCTTTCTTAGATTGTGAGTCATGTCAATTTGCCAAACATCATTGTCTTCCCCTTGCGTCTTGAGTCAATAAACGGGCTGCATCCCCTTTTGATTTAGTCCATTCTAATGTTTGGGGTCCTTGTCATATTAAGTCTAGTTTTAAGTATTTTGTTACTTTTGTTGATGACTATTCCTGTATAACTTGACTATATTTAATGAAAAATCATTCTAAATTATTCTCTTTCTTTAGCAACTTTTGTGCTAAGATCAAAACACAATTTGATGTCCGTATCAAAACTTTGCGAAGTAATAATGCTAAAGAATATGTCTTAGTGCCATTTCAAAAATACATGCTTCAAAATGGTATTCTTCATCAATCATCTTGTGTTGATAACCCTAGCTCAAAATGGTGTTGCTAAGCATAAAAGTAGGCACTTACTTGAAGTGGCACAGCCTCTTTTGTTTCAAATGAAAGTTCGAAAATCTTTTTGGGCAGATGGTGCCTCCACAGCTTGTTTTTTGATTAATAGAATGCCTTCTTCTGTCCTTAGCAAGAACATCCTTTTTACTACCATTTTTCCTTCCAAGCCATTGTTCCATATTGATCCTAAAATATTTGGTTGCAATTACTTTGTTGGGGATGTTCGGCCCAGGTGTCCAAATTAGATCCAAAATCTCTAAAATGTGTTAATCTTGGATACTCTCATCTTCAAAAGGATATCGGTGCTTCTCTCCTACACTTAATCTCTCTAATCTATATTCTCTTTATCTTACTAAGACTAAATATATATATATATATAAGAGAAAGAGTAATAAATGCTAAAGACACCTGACACCTCACCTAAGCAACAACTCCTAACCACCACCAAGCACCTCACCTAACATACCACCTAACACCACTTATACCTAGCACCTCACCTAACAACCACCAACACCTAACCTAACATACCACCTGGTGACCACCAACACCTAACCTAAGGTGGTATGTTAGGTTAGGTGTTGGTGGTTGTTAGGCAAGGTGCTAGGTGGTATGTTAAGGTGAGATGCCTAGTGGTGGTTAGGTGAGGTGTTTTTATTCTCTTTATCTTATTGAGATTGAATATCTATAGACAAGAGAAAGAGTAACAGCTAACCACAACCTAGCACTTCACCTAACATATCACCTAGCACCTCACCTGACCACCACCTAACACCTATACTAATGTGAAATATTATATAAAATGCCAAATTACATAATATTTTGCATTAGTATAGGTGTTAGGTGGTGGTTAGTTGAGGTGTTAGGTGGTTTTATTCTCTTTATCTTACTGAGACTGAATATAAATATACACACACAAGAAAAAGAGTAATAAATGCTAAAAACACCACCACCTAACACCTCATTGAACATACCACCTAACACCTAACCCAACATACCACCTAACACCTATATTAATTACATAATATTTCACATAAAGTCTATCGCCTACGAAAATCTTTATATGGCCTAAAGCAAAGCCCTCGAGCCTGATTTGGCAGGTTTAGTGATGTTGTGTAGAAGTTCAAATGAAGTAAAAGTAAATGTGACCATTCTGTGTTCTATCAAAAAACAAATACTGGCTTGATTCTTCTAGTTGTTTATGTTGATAACATTGTAATCACCGGAAGTGATGCTTCTAGCATTTCATCTCTCAAGTCTTACCTTCAGACTCATTTCCGAACGAAAGATTTGGGACCATTGAAACATTTTCTCAGAATTGAAGTTCTATCAAGCAAGAAGGGCATTCTCCTATCTTAAAGAAAGTATGTTCTTGATTTGTTAAAGGAAATAGGTAAATTGATAGCTACACCATACAACTATCCTATGATCCCTAATCCTAATCTTGATGATAACATGGGTGCATTGTTTGACAACTTGAGAGGTACAAAAGATTGATTAGGAAATTGAATTATCTCACAGTGACTCATCCTGATATTGCTTATCCAGTAAGTGTTCTTAGTCAGTTTATGCCCTCACCTACAGTTAATCAGTGGGATGCTTTAGAGCATGTTCCACATTACTTGAAGGGAGCTCCTAGATGAGGAATACTATATAGTAATCATAGGCATACAGATATTGAGTGTTTCTGCGATGTAGATCTTAAGGGGTCTAAAGCTACAAGATGATCTAACTGGATATTGTGTATTTGTGGGTGGAAATTTAGTGTCTTGGAGGAGCAAGATGTGGTATCTTGATCTAGTGCAGAATCAGAATATACAGCCATGGCGCAATCTGTGTCTGATGTAGTGTGGATATATTATTTATTGAAGGAAGTTGGTCTCAAAACCACATTGCCAGCAAAGTAATGGTGTGACAATAAAGCTACACTACATATAGCATCTAATCCAGTTTTTCATGAACGCACAAAGCACATCGAGATTGATTGTCACTTTGTTTGAGATAAGATTCTAGAAAACTTCATCTCCACTAAAACATATGCACACTAGAGAACAACTTGGTGATTTGTTTACAGAAGCTCTTAATGGAGCCTGAGTCAAATATCTTTGTAAAAAGTTGGGCATGAGTAATATCTATGCTCCTACTTGAGGGAGAGTATTAAGATACTAATATGCAAAATATTATGTAATTTGTATAGGTGTTAGATGATATGTTAGGTTAGATGTTAGGTGGTAGTTAGGTGAGGTTTTATGTGGTATGTTAAGCGAGGTGTTGGGTGCTGATTAGGTGAGGTGTTAGGGTTTAGGATTTAGGATTAGCATTTATTACTCTTTCTCTTGTACATGTGTATATATATATATTCAGTCTCAATAATATAAACAGAATATAGATTAGAGAGAGTATTTCTTCGCAACAAATACATTTAACTAGTTTATAAATTTGAAGTCATTTATGCTAATTTGATATGAAAAAAGTGCAATTAAGTATATTTAGCCAAAAAATAAGTACATTAAGTATATAAACCTAAGTACCTAAGTTTTATCCTAAACTAATTACAGCCTCCCCTGCCTCAGTACTCTGCGCCGATTTTCCAGAATGATTGATGAGATTGCTTTACATAGACTGCCTACTTCTACCATGAAAAGTGTGAAAAGTGTTTTCATGGTAGACACCCAAATTTGGCGACTGAAAGGCAGAAAGAAAATTCACAAAGCTATGACCAGTGGACCAAAAGATTTTACCATGTACATTCTATAAGGGTTCTGCATGGGTATTAACCAGTTAGATAGAAACAGGAAGATTAGTTAGCTGTAATTCAGGTAGTTAAAAAATAACTACCTAATGTGGTTCACACTACTCCTATGGTTTATAAACAGAAGTAGAATCATATTCAATGAAGTTGATAAATTGAATTATCAATGTTAGTCTGTCTTTTCTATCTTTCCTGGTGCAACACGCACCATTCAAGTGTCAAGGTGTCCTTCCAGAATACAGTCACAGGGTATGAAATGGTGCTGAAAACAAGCATATGATCAAATGATAAGATTTGACCAACATCTCAAGCAAAAAAATATCAATATGACGGGACTGAGTCTGAGATAATCAATAGCTCATATCAACAATGGCCATGGATGTGGCAGAATGTCCAGCAAAAAGGAAGTCATATAGGTAATAGACTAATAATCAAGCATGTCAATGGACATGCAGAGAGGAAGATACGTCCATAGCATCTGAGTTTCTTTACATGAAAGAAGCTAATGAGACTGGAAGAAATATCTGAAAAGTATGACTGCTAAACTTCAAAATGAAGCAAAAATTGATGCTATGGCTGAGATCAAGAACCACAGGCAAGAAAACTCAATGAACGATCATCAAGAGAAATTTGAAGAGTTTTACTTTTAGAGATGGATTTACCAAAACCTCTAGCAATAAGGCGCTTCTTAAAGATCATTCACACAAATATATAAAAAAACTATAAGATTGTTCTGTCCAAATGCCCTTGCTTGCACCACCATTGAACCACCCAGCAGAACCAACTAGAGGGGGAGTATTGTCTGGATTAAGCAACTGCTCTGTTGCTTTGATACCATGAGTACGATCAAAGAGTATTTCCCAATAGTATGCTTCAGGGCAGAGCCACAGTACGTGTATATTACTTAGCCAGTGTATATGATAAGCTATTAGGGTAAATTAAGTATTTTTTAAAAGAATCAAGTATTAACTCTAATTAAAATGAAAGAGTAAAAACTGAACATAAAATAAGATAATAGGATATAACAATAAGTGAAACATCATGCAGTGAGCTTGGGCTTTTGGTCTAACAACACTCCCCTTCATGTTGGAGAATAGATGTCAATCATTCCCACCTCGTTTCTCAATCCTTCAACTGAATTTCTTGGCAGTAGTTTTGTAAATAAATCTAAAACTTGATATTTGGCTCTGATGTAGGATAAATCAATTATCCCTTCAATTTTTTCTCTAATGAAGTGTCAAACATCTAAGGGACTCAGTGTATCACAAAGAGTATATATTGGACCTACTCAATGAGACTGGGATGCTAGGGGCTAGATCTGCAAATACCCTGATGGAACTTAACTACAAGTTGGAGGAAAACCCAGACGGAAATTCAGTCAACAAGGAAAGGTAACAAAAGTTGGTGGGAAAGTTGATTTATTTATCCCACACTAAATTTGATATATCTTATGCAATGGGAGCTGTACGCCAATTTGGAAGCAACCCTCAAAAGGAGCACATGGAAACTATATATCAAATCCTTAGATGTCTCAAGACAAAACGAGGCAAGGGCTTATTTTTTTTCAAAGGGAAATCAGAAGAAGGTAGAAATATACACAGATGCAAACAGTAAGATACCAAGAAAAGGGAATCAAAAGTGTGTAGAGATATATACAGATGCTGATTAGGCAGGGGCAATTGATAATAGACGCTCTACCACAAGATATTGTACTTTTGTCTGGGTACTCTTGTAACATGGAGGAAGCAGCCAGTATTATCCAGGAGCTCAGTAGAACTGAATACAGAGCATTAGCAATTGGAATTTACAAAGGAATGTGGATTGTGTGCTTATTGAAAGAACTGGGGGTTAGAATTGGGTGCTCCAGTCAAGATGTAGAGTGATAGCACGGCTGCACTCAAGATTACCAACAACCTTGTTCAACATGATCACACCAAGCATGTTGAAATTGATAGACATTTTATCAAAGAGAAGATTGAAGTCAAGGTTATATTTTCCCACATTCCATGTGGCAAGAAAGCTGCTGCTTTGATGATTAAACCTCTTGTCAAAGCTAAGTTTGATGAATTCATAAGCAAGCTGGAAATAATCAACATCTATTCATGAGCTTGAGGGGGAGCGTCAAAAGTGGAATTATGTCTATCAGGCCAATTACTTAATGACCCCTAGTTTCTTTATTTATTTAGCACCTTCACATTTATCATCTTTATATTCTGTAATTATTTAAAAGTTTACAGAATATCCACTTTTATTTACTTTATTTGTCAATTATTGAGAGGATTTTGTGGGATTATATCCACCCCTCTGCTCCTATATGCATCAACTGCTACATAAAAATAAAACACATGAATTTGCACAGAAAACTCTCAATGTCAGATAAGCTTCATGAATATCAAGTGCGAACTATAAGGAGGAAATACAGAAATGACTTGCAGTAATAAAAAATGTTAGATTATATGCAAAAAATTACTGTTGCAAAGTCTCAGTAGACAGAGAAGCTTTATGCCCTTACCATGGACGAATATCGCTTCCATTGACTCTCAATATGTTCTCTCGCAATGCTAAACCAGTGTAAAGAAAGAGCAGCCAAGCCTAAGAAAAGATATCCATAGGAATAATGTATAAACAAGTGCAGAAATCAAAACAATATATAATCAACTGAAGGGATTTAAAAGAAAATACCTGGTAAAGCTGAACTGGGAAAGCAGGCATGCATCCAGCCCAAACCCATGATCTTAGGATCAGCAGTACTGATGGGAAAAAAAGGAACAGTAGGGCAGTTCTATCCTGAATGACGTATAATATTCTTGTAAGTTTCACAATCTTATAACCACAGGAAATGCATTATCAAGATGCAAGTATAACATGTTTATCTCTTTATCTGAAAGAAATTTTAACATGCATCAATTCACATATTTAATCAGAATGAACCCAAAAAGATTAGCATGGAAACAATTACAATGATATCGAAAGTTCTCATGAAATTAAATAGGGGAAATAATCACAAAATGCATATTAAGCTTGAGAAGATTAAGAGTCAAAATTGACATATAAGCACGAGAAGAATCTTCAACCGTCAAGCTGCTTCTAGGGCTACCTTTAGAGATATTTTGTGGTATGAATGAATTAATCACACCAAGCCACCCTGAATCAGAAAGAATAGTGGTCCCAAACATAAGCATACTTTTAAACGAACATCTTATTATCATGTGAATGAGGGAAGCAATGGGCAATGGCAACTTTTTGGTAAATTAATCAAAATCAATACTCAATACAGGAACTTGAAAACCATTAACTTAGATGTATGAGAAAAAAGGAACACGCCAACTGTTCCTTGTAGGTACAGGGAAATTTCATAAAATACCAATGCAGTGACAACAATTCCAATAAAAAAATGAGCATGAATCCATAATATAAGAGCACCATAACACTCCCTTGAGTCAGTCAAATGACTACTTCTGTGCATATAGAGTAGCTATTAAAATTTGCCATGATCATTATAATACTCATTGTCCAAAAGTACACTGTTGATTAAGAAGCTTTTTGCACAACCTTTATCGTGTTTATGAGGTATTATTTAAAAGCTTGGGGCAAATCCAACACAAACAAAAAACTTATCCTAGATGAATCAGTATAAAGAAGGAGGCATTTCCAATTCCGAGATGCAATATCTATGATTAGCCAGACATTCTATACATGAGATAGATAGAGGAAAAGGTCTACAGAAACGTAGATGCAGCGGAGGATTTATACTTTGTAACTGTTGTACTCCTCTTTAACCTTCAACTGGACATCCTTCCGAGAGGCGCGCACATTAATAGGACCCAGAAACATCCTCAAAAATCGCCCTGAAGGATTGGATATCAGCACAAGGGATGATATTATGATATGAAAATTTAATTGTAAGATGCAAAACGCTCATAAGTTCATGAGAAGGATAAGAGGAAAAAACCTTGCGCATTGCCTGGAAGCAGCGAAGCAGCATCACCATCTGCTACAATGCATCTCGCCCTCTGTAAATCTTCATCTAACTGTAAAAATGGAAAAACTAATAAAGATAATAACAATAAATAATAGATCAGAAAGCATATAAGGAGCATTAAGAAATTGGGACCAAGCTGCTAAGAGATTATACATAGTTAAATTCTTCAAACCCTCTAATTTTCAATTATATCACAAAAACCTATCCTTGACTTCTACAACCTACAAAAACACACCAATCAAGTTATACTATTAAAATATTATATGAGATTCTATTCTATTTTATTTTGATCACATATGAAATTTTAATTTTATTGATCAAGCTGGCCTTACTCATTTTACTATAAGACTTCCCCTATATTTATCCTAGCTTGCACCCTCTTAAATCACCTCCCCTTGTCCCTGCTCCTCTTCTGTTCAACGATTCTAAAGGGCTTATGATTGAGATCCTCAATTGACCAGAAGGTAAATGATGAAGACCTATCACCACCTCCAGGAACCTGAGTTATAGTTTGATCCTTGGACAGGTTGCTACCAACATGTTAAGAGCAAAGCTACAAACTTTCAGTGAAATAGCTTGATCCACCCTACTTTTGACATAAGTATTGGATAAACCAGCATCTACCATAATACAGATCATGATTTAGTCTTCCATTATAGAGATTATAAGCTGTCCTGCCTCAATTTTCAAACCCAAAATAGGTTGCACCTCCTTCTCATGGAGCTGGAGAGCAGAGCAGGCTTGAAGGTATAAAACAGGGGATCTAAAGGCAAGGGATGTGTGCCTTCGAAAGGGTTAGGTATGGCTGCTGGTAAATGGTTGAAGCCAAGCTTTAGAGCCTTTTTTTGGAAGACAATGAGAGTGGCATTGTAGGCAAGGCCCATGGAGAAGTCCTGTGGAGGTCGTAAACCTTCCATCCTTATTAACACTTCATTTAGGAGCATTCTCATAGTTTTAGCAGGGAGTTAACAATTATCTAACTTGTGTTTAACAATTGTATCACAATTTTTTTCAAAAAATTGGAGTCATACATAGCATATCCAAATAAAGTAAGGGAGGTCAATATAAAATCAAGAAATTTGCAAGGAGAATGAAGTACTTTAGCCAAGCATATAATAAAATTATATATATAAAATATCCAAAAGAATTACCCATTTCAGAGTATCTGATGAAGTAGAATTGATATATAAAATTGAATTGTTTTTTTTTTTCCTATTATTAATGAAGTACAATTTTACCTTGTCTGCCACCTTCGGGTCCAAGAGCTTCTGAGAGAGGAGAGAATCAAGCAAGCAGCGCAAACGTTTAATAGAGTCCATTAGAGATAGAGCACGCTGGCGGAGAGATTGCTCTTCAATGGATGTCTTTGAGATGTGAGTTGTGACCAAGTCCTGCAATTCTTTTGCATCTTCTATCGCTCTCCCTACTTCTTCCTCTATATTTTCTGCTGCAATTGTCATGGATGCTGCAGCTTTTTGGGTCAATCCCAGGTCTATTCGTGTTTTGCTTACTCGCGCACATGCACCAATTACAGTTCACAGATTTACTTTTTTACTTTACTAATCTAGACCTGCAGTTAGCAAACACAACAAGGTGCATATTAGAGCGGTTAATGGGATACTGCATCTGATGTTCCTGTAAAATTTGACAAGGAAGTCAGAACTCCTTAATCCTCATTCAATCTTTCCCACTACATCCATTAAGCGTCAAAATCTCCACAAATCAGATTACAAAAAGAAAAAAACACAAAGGCAACATGCAGAAGATATGCCCACAGAAGAACAAGAAGATTCGAGAAGTAGATCAAAATTAATGGCGTAGTACCATTTCCAACACGAGATTGAAGATTTAAGAAAATTACCATCCAGGAATGAGGGCAGGAGGTGGGGTAACAAGAAGGAAGGTGGGTGAGACGATGGATTAAAGATTCCGTACCATAGTTGGCCAGCGGTGAAGAAGAAAATACAGAGTGAGAAAGCGAAAGGGCCTTTTGTGAAGTGTTGCGTTTGGGTAGAGAAAAGAACAGCGATGGGTGGAGGGTGGACGGTGGTCCGGTGGAAGGGGTAACACAAATCTCATTTATTCATGTTTATATTTTATTTCTTTATAAACAAGTGGCTCATACGTCATGAGGTTCGTTTGATTATGTGTTTGCAACACAAGCCTTTTGAAAACGCCGTTTCTAAGGCTGAGAACCACGTCTGAAGGCGCTTCCAACTTTCAAGCAAGCATACATGAGCAAGGGTATGACAATAGTGTGCTTTCCATCAAACCTAAACTAGCATGTCCCAAACGTTAGTTATAATGGGAGAAGCTCATTTGACAGCGCAATCTCACATTCAGATAATGAAATTTTTAGAAGAGTTTCTGAACCAAAACCAAGATTAGGATTGGAGTAAAAAATTCAGGCTTTTCAAGAGCTTTTGAACTAAATAAAAGATTAGGTAACTACAACCCAAAAGTATGATAAATTGGGTATATAGCAAATTACTGATTGAACAAAACTTTTACAAACTTTAGTTTAATTAAAGGTGCAACAAAAAATTTAATAAAATAAGTTTGTGATCTCAAATACTTCTATTGCAAAGAGCTTGAAAAGCACTTAACAAAAAATTTAAATCAAGTTTTCGAAGAATTTCGAATATAAGAACAGAACACTTGAAAATCGATTAAGCACAAAATGTAAGAATCAATTTATCAAATCACAATTTGAGAATAAAATGAAAATCAATTTCCAAGACCAAGTACCAAGAGAGAGTAAGAAATGAGCTGAATGAAAAGAGAATAAGGAAAGAGATATTGTACAAATTGATTTATCTTAATTCAATACAACCACTTAGTGTACATCCAGTCCTTAAAACCCTTCTGAGGTTTATCTCCTAAACTCACAAGCTTAAGTGGGTACTTACCATCTTAGTATATCTATAAGTTTAGTTCAAGCACTTGTAAACTGTTACAATACCTCACTTAAAAATGGTGAGCACTTTACAAATCTCAACAATGAAATCTCTCTCTACACCATGCCAAGGGAACACTTCCCTTAATTCTCTCAAATATAAAGATAAAGTGTTTTCCTAATGAATTCTCTCTTAAAGAGATTATAGGAACAATTTAGCAAACTCAAATAAACTCTCTCAAAAGAATAGTTAATACATTTAATGCCTATAAACCAGGTGAGAGCATGTTTCGCAAAAACTAAGTGCAAACTAGTAAGTATTCAATGCTAGGATACCTAATGCATTTTCATGATTACCCATTCACTTAAATGAGATCCTATTTATAGATTAGCATCCAAAGAGATGTTAGGAACACTCAGGGAAAGAATTATTATCATTGGGTATGTGTAGAAGTGAAGAAGAGTAGAAAAAAAGAAAAAACATTTTTTCTACAAACAGCATTTAATGCATTGTTAGAGCTTGATTCATGTGTGTATTGGTAAGGTAACGTGCATGGATTGCCTAACTCACAAAGGCTTAGTTCACTTCTGGCTACTTTAAGCAGGCTATATGATTTAAGTGTGTATTGGAGATTATAAGCTTTTTGCTTCCATTGTGAGCTCAAACATGCATAGGTACATACTAATTCAAGCGTGTATTGGAAATGGGCTCTTTATGAGTTAAAACATGCTTATGTGACTACTAAAACGAACTTGAATTGGCTTGTTCAAACTTAAGACTCTCTAATTCAAGTGTGACACATGGGGATTAGACTATGGCACACTTCAAGCTAATATACTAGGATTAATTCAAGCATGTATAACATCTAACTCAAGTCAAGAATTAGATCACAATAGCATACCCTTAAGTAATGGCTAGTTCAAATGTGTGCTCAACCTTGAGACAACTGAGTTCTAGTCAAACTTAAAACACTTGCTTTCACTGAAGGCTCAAACATATGTGTGTCCGAACCATAACTAGTGTGAATAGGCTAATAGTGTCTAGCAAGGCCTCTGGATGCTAATTCAAGCGAGTATTAATTCTAACTCAAATTTGAATTGGTTCTAACAAGTCATTTAATGTATTACATATAGTCTATCCAGAACAAGCGTGAATTAGACTCTAAAGCTCAAATTCATTCTAACTGTTTGATAATGAAGTTATAGGACTTATAAGCCTATGACATATTCTAATATGATGCATTCTTACCAGTCAAAATGTGATTTTGCTTTCAATAGTTCACATTGTTGTCTAAGAGAAGAATAATATAAATAAACCTATTAAGTCTAAGTTTTCTCTTATTTTTCATGCTCTTGTGGTTTTGTCACTTAGATTTGAAAATATTGATCTGCACAAGTAACAAACTTTCTTTTCCTTTCTTAGGCAAACATTTGAGTTTGCTTTTGGAACAATACATATGACACCTCTCAAGGTCATAGAGGAGAGGGAACCCATAGATTTGTGTTGAACTTTATACCTTTGGCTGGGTACATCTTATCATTGGTGAGTTTGGTACAGTTTAGTCACATGGACAAAGCCTATTTTGATCGTAACGTCTTATGGGTTTGGTTAGAGGTAATGAGGAGAAAATGGGAAAGATGTTTGCAAATATATCATGACATGATTGTATATTTGCTAGATTGTATGAAATATATGCTTTAATAATTTCACTGATTTGATTATTTATTTATTTATTATTTACTTATATCCACTTAACTACCTCTAAAACAAGCTTGCATGTTTATTAAATTATTATGTGGTTACTAGAACCTTTTGATATCATTATTACGGTTAAACATTTTTAGGTAAACATTTGAGCGGAGCAAAAAGGAAGCAGGTTGAGGCTTGAGGTATTTTAATTGTAATGCTTCAAGTTGCTTTTTGAATTGAAAATTGTATAATAATAACAATATAGGATTTTCATGCATCTTATATCTTGAAATGATAATTTTGAACTTCTGTTTGTTTAGTTTACAACTAAAGATACTAGTTGAATAGGCCGAAGGTCTTTAGGATATTGTATATGTAACATCGATTTTTCAAAACATTTATGCTTAACAAGAATCAACCCAGTGCTCATTGGGACCCTAAAATTAATATCATATTTGCATTCTTTAAAGCATAATGATGATGTTGTAAATTCTAAAATTTGTATGCAAAATGATTAAAACACTCAAACTCTTTTGGAAATTGAGAATGCATTAGGTTTACCTTATTTTACCATAGGTTGCTTTAACTTCTCTCCTTTAGGAGAGGACATTAGTGCAAGTTTTATTGGTGAGAAAGCTAAAATTAAAGAGAGAAAAGACAAGAAATTGGATGCCTCCCAAGCCAAGAACAAATTTGGGGAAAGCATGGACAAATTGGAGATTGTGGAGATGCTTCAAAGCCACCCACCTTAGTTCCCTTGATCATTAAACCCCATTCCCTTGACCTTATGCCTTTACCTCCTCATTTAAAATATGCATACTTAGAGCATGATAATTGTTTGCCCATTATTATTTCTTCTTTTTTTATCTAGTTTAGACAAAGACAAACTTAATTCATATTTTAAAAATGTATATGAAAGCTATAGGTTGGTTCTTAGCAGACATTCTAGGGATAAATCCATCCATATGCACATATAGAATCACTCTTGAAAAGGGTGTAAAGCCAATGAGGAAACTTCAAAGGAGGCGTAATACATTTATATTTAAGGTAGTGAAAAAGGAAATTTTAAAGCTCCTAAGTGTTGAAATCATTTACCTAAACTTGAATAGCTAATAGGTTAGACCCTTCCATGTTTTGCCTAAGAAAACGAGCTTGAACATAATCAAGACTGAAGAAGACATATGGTTCTTATAGGAGTTGCAAATTCATAGCATGTGTGCATTGATTGCCAAAAATTAAACAATGAAATTGTTAGGGGCCATTCCCCACTACTATTTTTGGACGAAATTCTCGAAAGGTTAGCAGATAAAACACAATATTGTATTCTAGATGGGAACTTGAGTTATTTTTCAAATTCAAATTCCTCCCAAAGATTAAGAGAAAACCACCTTTACATGTTCTTATGGCACTTAATTATGGGAAAATGCACTTTGAACTGTGCAATGCCTTGACCACCTTTTAAAGGTGCATGCTTTTTATTTTTGTTGATTTTGTAGAAAAATTGCTTGAAGTTTTTATGGATGATTTTATGCTTCATGAAAATTCTTTTGTTGAATGCCTTCATAACCTTGGTTTGGAACTAATAAGACATGAAGAAAAGAATTTGTTCTAAACTATGAAAAATGTCATTTCATGGTTAGGGAAGGAATAGTCTTACCTTGATTTGGAACTAATAAGACATAAAGAAAAGAATTTGTTCTAAACTATGAAAAATGTCATTTTATAGTTAGGGAAGGAATAGTCTTAGGTCATAAAATTTTACAAAATGGGTTTGAAGTAGATAAATCTAAGATAAATATTGTAACATCCCAAAATTCAAAAATAAGGTTTAGAATAAATTTAAATTAACTAGAAATTAATTTAGATTAATGTGGGATTAAGAATTAGGGTTTAAAATTGAATTTGTGAAAAAAAGAAGAAGCAATTTTTGGCTTCAACCACCCATGGTTGAAACCTTCAATAATCTCAACTACTTGTAGACGAACCTCTCTAAAAAGGGATGTAGCCTCTATTTACCACATTCTACAATTGAAACCTTTAGTAATCTCAGTTGCCCAACAATTGAAAAATTGATATAGGGATTCATTTAAGTGGGTTCAACCACAGACAATTAGAATTATAACATGCAAGACTGCTTGCTATCAACTTGTGAGAATTGCATTTTTAATGGTTGAAAAATGCAAAAAAAGGAAGCAAGAAAGAAGGAAAATGAAGAGGAGAGTTTAGGGTCTTCTAGGGCAAAATTCTTCCAACCATTGGAGGAGTTTTAGAGCTTGGAATCACTAGAAGTAAGTTTATATTCCTTCCTCCTTCATTCTAGCCCCACTTGAAGTTAGGATTTTGGGTTCTTCCTCTAGATTTTGGCTTATCCATAATGTTTCTAAGTTTTAATTTGGTTGGCTATGGATGAATTAAATGATTGGAATGGAGTTGTTGGAATTTTATTTTTGCTTCTAGAACAATAGGCATCGATTGTTTGAGCA